GAAAAAATGAGAAAATTGGCAGTACTTATGGGACAACCCAGAGTTACTAGTCATTCTAAATGCAGATTATTAATTATGCTAATGAAGGAAGAACGGCTCTAGAGGCTCCTAAAATTTGACGCTCTGATTTTTCAAAATTGCAACGAATGAATGAGCTCGAGACAGTCTCTAAATGTGGCTTGCATTCGCGTAGCCAATTAAAATCACAGAGAGGCAGTATAAAGCACAGCTAAGCCAAAACACACGTTTCTAATAGCTTATTGTTCGCTGTTTTTCTCGTGAATGACGTAGAAGTGAGTGTTCCAGGCGAAATTTGAAGCGGAATTGAGCTGGAAACCTTGGTCTGACGGTCACCATGGCAGCCTCATCAACGACGTAATTGCACCAGAAGCTGTGCCGCTTTGGTTGTCCGAGGAATGTCGCCATCCGCTCACAATGAAGGCACTGCCTGGGCAAGAGAAAAGGTAACAGCTAGTTCATACCTGGATTGCGTATAATCGCGCAGAAATAAGTATTGATATACATATAACGCGCAGTTATAAAAGAAACTGGAGGTACTTTGAATACATCAATTTGATTGATTGAACTTGTCGTACGACGCTAATTGTGAGCCGAAGTTGAGAGTTCTCAGATAGGAGGTTATAATTGTTTGTTTGCAGGCAACGCGTTAAATTTCCCTGGATTGAAATGGATTCTCGGAGAAAATAATGAGAGGACTCACCTAGGGCTAAGAAATTCGCAGCTTTGAAAAAGAGAAAGTATTTCTTTGAAAAATTTCGAGGAGTTCACGATCTCTCCAGAATTTCACGAACACTTCAAAGGCTGTGCTGATCTCAACAAAATTCCAAATTGGATAGAATGAGTAGAATGTAGAGACGGTTGTTAGACATGGGTTACTTTTGCTCCTTCAGCAAACAAAGAAAAAGAAAAAGAACTGTTAATGAGCTCAGCAGAAACTCGAGAAACTTCCACTTACTAGGGAGTTCCTCAAGGGAATGCCCAGCTTTCTCAAATCGGTTATTCATATGATATAGAGCTACGTGCATGGAACACAGAACTGGTTTTTCCTGAGCCTAGGAAGAAAGTAGCGAAGAAATATTTTTTGTCTCATAATTCCTGTCGCATTTCTATTCAAATTCCTTCCGTCTAAGACCGTTTCATTGCGAAATACGTTAGTATGTTGAAGTATGCTTCAAGAGCCTTAACAGCATGGTTTCGGAAGCGCAAGCCCTTAACGGGTTAATCAACTAGGAATAAAAATAGGTCAGTGACTATAATGAATGATTATGCTTTACGATCCTCAAATGAACTCTGTAGCAAGGAGGACAACAGAGAAGATCAGCGCTGTGTTTGACCCAGTCTCTGCTACTGATAGGGTACTGAGCTAGTGGTCCAATCGCAACGGCAAAGACGAAACGAGCTATGAACTTCAACCTCATACTGGGCCTGCGGTCATTTTTGATGAGCGCCCCTTGCACCCTAAATTGGGAGTGCCTCCGCACGTTGCTACCAGGGTATTGTAGCAGATACCTGAGCGCAGCCGATGCACCAGCACACGCCATCAGTATGGCAAGGACTGCTGCAGAATGAAGTTTTGATGGAAACCTTATGGTCCGGCCGACCATGAGCGGGAAGCACGCCTGACCATCTGGGGAAAATCCATTCTGGGACGGCAAAAGCAGAGCCTTCCCTAATCGGTCACCAGTGGAAATGAGTCATGAGTCCACTGCGACAACAACATGCGGCACGTCTGATGGCTGCCTCGCAGCCAGGAAGCACCAGCTCAACCAAAGCCCGAACTCCGTTTTCTGAGAATATCGCTCTCGTTTTGTTGGATTCGCTAGGTGGCCTGGTTTGGGAACCACTTCAATGTATGAAGACAAGCATTGCTAAAGTCAGCGCGGAATAGCCCTCTAGGCTGGCTTCGGGGTTGCGAGAGAATCGTCAGAAACGTCTCAGTCCTTCCTCCGAATGTACGCCAGACCTCACATTGCAATGCCAACTCACCACGTTCTGAGGGAGATAGCCAGGGCCACGATACCTCATCCACCATATAGCATTGGCATCGCTCTATCGGACTATCGCCTCCCCTGCGCTTTGAATAAGCATCTGCCAGAGAAGAAAGTTAAAGATTGCGACCACCCCAAAAACGACTTCTCCAAATTCTTCAACCCCCAGCTTCCTTCATTCTGGGCTGGAAGCTTCCAAACGCCCACTAGCAAATGCACGCATATCAGTGACCATGATGGTGGTTATGCTATTGATCAGTTGTTTCCTAGAAGAGATAAAACTTGAATAAACAAAAGTGTCGAAATTGCGACAGGAATTATGAGACAACCCAATATTTGTCAAAGAACTGCTGTTGTTGACTTTCTTAACTAATTTCTTAGCCGAAGTCCACGCGTAAAGCCCTAACCATAAATATGACAGCATTGTTTACGCTGACGCTATTTTTCGCGAATTTTGAAACGCCAACACAAAATGCAAAAAAATTGTCACTGCGAGGATTCGAACCACGGACCACTTCATCACCCCTTTTTGGTATTCAGAGGGCCGCTCAGGAAAAATGAACTACAGTTCTGTGTTCCATGCATGTACCCCTATATCATGCAAAAAACCGTTTTCGAAAAAGCTGGGCATTTCCTGAAGAACCTTCCTCGTTAGATCTAATACGTCTTTTGCATGGGTAAAGCTAAAGGGATCGCGCCCAACAACCGCATTACACGATCTTTTTCGTGGATAGGTGGCTTGGAGCCATCCTTCACAAAAGAAACGAAGGGAAGAAAAATTCGTTTCTCTCTGAGAAAAAAATCCGAAAACAAAGAGAACTCTCACTCTTTCAGACTTCCGCAGCCTAACTATCGCAAATGTTGCGGGCAACAACGTACGCAAGTGTTTTCAAAATCGTCTTGGACTTGTCCGAGAGCAGCCGAAAAAGATTTCAGAAATCTGGGTTCTTTTGCAAACTTCGAACCCCAATACTTCAGGAATATAATAGTCAAACCTCGTCGAACTGTTTCAATGATACGCTTTTGAACCCATCTCTCGTGAACTGAATGGCCTTAATTGCTGAGGAGTGGTTGCGAAAACTCTCAAATTTAGCTCGAGTACGGAAATGGGCGCTTTCATATGCCTTCAGAAGAGTCTCCTACATCTCATACAAAATAATGGAAGTATGGAGAGTGCGCACAGTCCCAGTGGCGTCCGCTCACCCTGTACGGCTTGTTTCCCGTCCTCAAGTAAGTTGTAAATGCAGTCATCGCGACACTCACGTCACCGACTAACAATAGCCTAGAAACGCATGGCGACATAGATCCCCACCTGATTCGCCATGTGTTCTTTCAGATCTGAAATAGCACACCTGTCAAGGTCTCAGAAATTTGATATCACACATGCATTTATCATTAGCATACAGGGGTGGCCAAAAAAAAAGAGACACTTTGCCCATGGCGCACATCATCGAACTTTTCGTCGCACAGGGAGCCGATGTTAATGAAAGTTTTACGGCGAATATTCCTTAGGTGTTCCCCCGTAAACAGAAGCAGGCCCTCCTTCACTGCCCGCCGTCTTCAGAATATGACGTCATCTGCCGTCACCGTCGAGCTCAACGAGGCTTACCGTAATCGCTCCGGCCTGAAGCTGCTACATAATTTCTTCAATGATTAACTGTGAATAGCTTCCCAGAGACATTAGCTGTGACTATGCAAGACCGCTTTTGACCAGCGTTTCAGGGACGTCGTAATGGTCTATGGTACCTCGACGACCTCGTTGAGCTCGTACCGTGAACCATGTTTCCGTGGGAAAATCTTCTGATGTCGTCGGTGTAGAAGGCTGTTGTGTAGCTTTTGATAGATTAGAATGTGCTCTTTAATATTCAGTTGGGGTCATTTGGTTTGGTTTCGCAACGCGTAAATAATTCCGTTTTGAATGTGGAGTGAAGTGTCTCTTTTTTTTGGCCACCCCTGTATATATCATTGACCATTTTTGGCCATGGGTCATTTTTCCCACTGACGGCAGCGTGGCTCACCGGCGGGCCATTTCATACAATTAACGGAGAAGATGCGTTTTGCATAACATTTGGCATTTTTTTGTGTTTTCATTACTAATTACGAAACTTTCGAAGGATGGACGGCTTCTGATGGAAAAAAATTTGGAAAAAAAGATCCCGTAATACACGTAGAATGGTTGTTGTCTGTGGGTTAGACGTGCATAGACGACCTACCTGATTATGGGAAGCAACGTGTACGTGCTAATAACGCATAATTCGAAGGCATGGCCGCTTATCATTCTCAAAACTCACCACCTATCATTATCACCTCATGATGCTCAATTTGTCAGGGTTTGAAATACAAATGTACATGGTCCATGGTTAAAACGAACATTTATTAAACAGTAAGCAGTCGTTTGATATGTATAAAATAGATTCTATCCATTCATAACCCTTTTATTAGATCTGCTAAGCTATGACCGAGAGCTTCCGCTTCTTCCGATGTCCCTGCTTCTGCATACACACGAACAATATTCTCCGTACCAGATGGCCTGTCAAAGATGCAAGAGTAAATCCAAATTCTATACAAAACTTCATTCGCTGTTTTCCAGAGATCGACCGATATTGGCCTTTCAAATAAGTTTCGTACCTTATAAACGCTCGTGCACCCTTGTATTGAGCAACGAGAGCGTTTATTTTCTCCTGCACACCTTCAGGCTCGAGCAAGACCGTCTCTTCATAGGTGGTTTTGTACTTGGCACGGTCGACGACCTTTGAAAAACTGGTATAGAGAAAGAAAAACAACCTGGCATCAACGGATTTGGACTATAGTCCAGTTACTAGTGCGCCACGCATCCGTCGTTTTAATGCTTAGTTGAGATTGTCACAAAACACAGCTATGCTTGGTCGGGTTTTGAAGCTTACTTTAATGCACACTCCACGACCACCGGTATGATTCTCGCGCTCGAGCAGCGGAGCAGAGGTGCGGAGTGAGTCGCCAAAAAAAGAAAAAGAAAAAGAAGAAATCGTCGATAATTTTCAAAATGAGGGCTATCCTTGTTAGTAGTGGGCGAATCCAACGGAGCGGTGAGGTGAAAGGTTGCGGCAGCAGCTAAGATGGGTGGCATTAGCGTGAACAGCGAGTATCCTGGCGTCTTGCCGCGAACTCTGAGTGCTGAAAGTTACACCAGTTCGATGGCGGTTGCGCACCCGGCCGTCTCATTAACGAGACTTTGTCCCAGTGAACAAGTCGTGGAATGTGCCTTTGAGGATGTCTGCCTAATGGCTCACTATTGAAGAAAATGGGAGGAGCCTTAAAGATTTTTTCGGCAGGCATTATTAGGTGACGTAAGAAGAACACAAGTGAGACATACCGGCACTTTAATTTGAACATTAGGCGCATTTCTGTACAGTGCTTGTTCCCAGTCCTCGATAGAGAAGCCATACCAACGCAGCAGCGATTCAACCACCAGAAGATCTGCCATGGCATCACCAACGACCTTAGACACTGATTTTTAAGTTCTCCCAGAACACAGCAATTTTATGTAGGACTTAGATTGGACAATTCCTTATAAAGTTCTAGATAAAACAACATTCAGCGGTTTCTGGCATATCTCTTTCAGCAGCAAGCATACCCCGAAACTGGAGTATGGCTGCTGCTTATGTTGCTTTTGAGTAAAATTGATAAGAAATCCTCATTTGGAAGTCAGTTCATATTTGACGTCTCAAGTCACTGACTTGTGGTACACCATAAATATCGCAGCCTTTCTCTAATTTGACCAACATAATCTTAAACAAACAACAAAAATGGATGAATGCCTTTGCCACAATCCATTTATAAGAATCCAAAATATACCTCGTTAATAACAACAGAGAGGTAGTGTAGTCGCTTCACAGCATCACATGACTGCTCATCCCTGCAAATCATTATTTCTTTGTCAAATTTACAAAGACGATAGAGGCTCAATATGTAAGCTCTGCGCTCCTTAGGGGGTTTTGGGGGTTTTCGGTGAAGGGGGGGGGGCACTTGATGAGCATCTGCTGCCGCTGACAGAACTTCTAGCTTCTGCAGAGGGAGGAAGTGTCTCCGTTCCGCGACCGTACCAACCCCAGAGCTTCCAAAATGGATCATTTCAGGTAATATGAACTGTTGCAGCATATGCCTCCCCTTACTGGATGAGACTCGGGTTTCGTTTTGGTGCTTGTTCCTAAAGGTTGACATATTGCCAGTGTAATTAAGTAATTGAGAAAGATTACACGGGAACTGGCTTTATTAAACTAGAGTGGACGTCGGTGCAGTAATTCGGAGGATACATATCATTTTCATAGCTGAACCTCTGCAGATCGAGAGGTGCACATGACGCCCCACGAGCCCATGGAAGAGGATTTTTGTGCTCGATTCTTTGACATTTTTCACGTCGCAAAGGTGTAGTTATATCGCTCAGACCCTCCGAACAACACACGTTATTTTTCACACAATCTGGAAAGCTATTAGTGACAGATAGAAGAACTAGACCGTTAGGTGTGGACACCGACAGAAAATTGCAGTATGAAGTGTAAAAATAGGTAGTGCAAGGTAAACACATGGTTATTAGTATCTAATGAGCCGTCATGGTGAGGGGGTTATTTGGGAGGCGGTCATATGGCGCGATCCATTGGCATTAGAGCGCACAGTATCCAGGACAACTCGTCCGTATCACACAGCTGCTAGACTTCAGCAATTGATCGATGTGATAATTTGGGCCCTCAAAAATCTCGCTGAGTCCCAAAGATCTAAAAAAAGAGTGGGTAGCTTCGTTGGCCTGATGCCAAGGCAAGAGGAACGGAACAGAATGTGTTGCGCGGACGAGTTGTCCGGCCACAGCAGGACGTGGTAATTACGGCCTGTGCGCTCCAATGCCAATGGGATCGCGCCATATGACGCGCGTTATTCCCCAAAAAACAGCAACCAAGATGTGCAGCATTCAAAAGGAATGATTAGACCAATGAGATTGCCTCATGATCAGAGTGTCTGGACAGCAATGCTCTTTCCTTCACTGCTTAATGCGTCCTTCTTTTACTGCGGTGCGTTTGCAAGCCTTCAAAGCAAAGTAGACTTTGCTTGTCGTAGGAGAATCACTTGCGACGATGTGGTGCTGCTACTTCCCGGGAGTAGCACCTAGCCACCGTGATAGTTCTACTTTTTTTTAGATTCGTTGTCAAATTTTGTCCTTTATTTCTTGTTGGTCGGACTGAAAATCTTGAGTTCCATGGCAATGTAGCTCCTTGAAGCTTTTGTAGTATGGTGTTGTCCCAAGTGCATTCTTGTAAATCCTGCTCGCTCCTAGTTCCCGCCGCTCTACGAATTTCCCAAGAGGTTGTTTCTGTGAGGAGATATTACTGACTTTTCATCCTTCTACCCGAAGTTTAGTAACGACTGGAGAATTCTCACTTAACACGATGACAACAGGCTGACGCGCATGAGCGTCAGAAATTTGGCACCGCATCGGACATTCTGACGCGCATGCGCAATGTCATCCGCGTCGTCCATTCCAATGTTCTGTCGAAAACGCTCGATTTGAAATTGGCAAATAGCGATGAATTCCGCTATGAATAGTGAGAAAATGGGCTTTTATTGCCCTCCTCTTCTGTATACGCGTATGACAATTACCCAGCTGTCAAACACATCTGTGAACCGATGTTTTATTAACTGAACGGAGAAGAATAGCTGCTCTTGGTACCAGTGCGGTCGCGTGTTTACAACAAGAAGACTTTGCACTCTTCATGTCATCGGGTCGACAAGCGCTAAAGTATCCCATTTCTTCGCGTGGCACTGCACACACCATGAGATTTCGTGTTAGCTGAACATTTCTCTCGCTTCCCATTGAACCGCATCCTAAGATTTTGTGACTGAGCCTAAATGGTTCACCTGTTGGGCTTGAGCAAAGTGAGCATTTTGCATTTGGCTCCACTGTAGCAGTACTGTTTTATGAACCTCAGAATTCTTTCCAAAGGCGCTCGGAAGAATGGCGCGCTTCGAGTTTTGCGTGGTGGTATCCACTGATCGTTGCGTTTGCAGCAGTGAAAATATTTTTCAGACTCGCACACTACCGAGTTGGAAAACTCCACAAAACAGCAGCCAAACCACATTTGCTTTTTGAAAAGGAAAGAAGAACGAACTTTCTTATCAGCTGGTCAAACTTTTCGCTGAACACCACGGTTCCGTGTCCATTTGCCTCGAAGTAGATGCCAATATCGAACTTCATAGCGGCATGATGGAGATGTTTCACACCTGTTGGCACGAAAACTGGAGTCACGCCCTGGAAAGTCGGCAAATATGGGTCGGTGTTCCAGAGCATGCTTCATAAAAATAGATACTGCTCTACAAAGGAAAAGATATAGAAATAGATAACCCTATGCAATCAGAGTGATTTTCAGCGGAGCCCTAAGAATTTGCAATTTATTCGTTGCTATTGCGCCAAACAAAAACAACATAACCATACCTGAAAAAATCTGTCCCTTACTTTGAATTTTATCAAAATAGTAGGAGGTTCTTGGCCATTTTCGAATATCATTTTTTATTCCATCAGGTGAGATGATACTAACTTACAAATTGGCGCCGATTTCGGTGTATGTCGCACACATGACATTAGCTGCATTAGGTACGTGCATCCCCGGCGATGCACAAACATCACATTCGAGACACTTTATGAATTTCGAAGCACCTTTTAGGAAGGAACAGGACACAAATCTCTCGCTACTGGATACATATATTACGCTGGAGGACCACGACAAATTAGCTACAGATCTCCACATTGCGTTGTATACTGCTTTTTC